TAAACAAACAACTTATAGATTACAGTGTTCCAGAAACACTTGAAAAGTTCTGTAACAGTGTCATTCATGATTCATCCGATTCTGTGTCTATTCCCCAAAGTTAATTTTCTGATTTATAGGTATGCAAATTATCACGTATGCAATACATATAACATTGAAGTGCAATTATAGTATAAGTTCAATCGCCCTTAGCAACATCAATGAACCCAATTGTAATTCCAAGGGAGACAACTTATATTTTGAAGTGTCAGAAATCATGTTACGGAACCAGAAAATTTAGACCCAGAGGCTACTAACAGACTCCACCTCTGAATACAATGTAGTGATCGTCATGGTTATGAAGAAGATAGTTACAAATTGTGACTTATTCTCCACTGCCCTCAATAGTTTAGTTGTGAGGATATAACCATAAAAATGTACTATGGAACAATTTTGACACCTCCAATGAGACTTACATTGTCTGTTTCGTGCCAGTTGTGATCTACATGGCTGGTGCAAATAAACACGCCGATGAAGTGGAAGCATTATTAAAGAAAATGGTAGAAGTATACATCGACTCTCAGTATGACAGTAAGTACACTTTTTGTTGAACAAATGCTTAACAATAATCAAGTCATTGTGATCGCATATGGACTATCGGACAGGTCATGTTCATAGTTTCTATTTGTTGTTACGTTTAGGGTGAACCGTTATTTGTTTCATATGTGTATATTTTTCTACTAGATAATTAAATATACGTATATTTTTTAAAGAAATGGAATGTGGTCACATAACATTTGGTTTGTTATTCGTACTGCATTATACAGACTTCCGGCTGATAGTCGGCAGTGTGTGAATTATCTGTACCACACAATTCAGAGTCTGACATCCTCAGCATTGATCTACGAAACTGGGATACGATGACATGCCCTTATCAAAATCAGCGATCCTGACCTCCAGATCAGTTAGTCGCCTATTACAAGTTGAAGCAACGAAAGATCAACTCTAACCTGAGATTTTGTGGGATCCATAGAATTGAGAATTTGTCCTTATATTTTCTGCAGATGCCGAGACATTCAAAGAGGCCATCAATACAGACTGTTCACGTATGATTGTCCTGATTGAGGAACGGTTTTCTAAACTGTTGGAAGATGAATACAGGATCTGCAAAAGTACTCTTAAAGGTGACAAACCTTTCTTTCGAACTCTAAACCTCCAGGAATATTACTAATTCCTGAGCTGTGCCGTCCCACCTACGCAATAGGCTCACCCTTGAAGTCATGTAAACATATGTAGGTTATGATATGGTATTCAGACGAAAATGTTGTAGTGGTTATGTGTTATGTGTCATGTCTTATTGTTATGTTATACCTGGATTTGAATGCTTATTGAATGCCCCATTAATTATGTTATTCCAAGAAAGACCATTTCTGTAGCTAATGTCATGCCAAAATGGTTTACTTTATTGTGTCCTGTTCATGGTTTTGCCAACACTAGATTAATACACATACATACACATACATACTAACATTTGTATAGCGCCGATATCCAGCTCAGCTCTGCTGCTCAAGGGCGCTTTGTTTTTCCCTCGTTCACTGGATGTCAATCTCAACGGCACATCGTATTGTCAATCTCAACTCCCTGGGGACATACAAATCTTGCAGCCACCAGGCGCACCGAGTTATTGTGGCATTCCGATCCTTTCGAGGTACCCATTTACAGCTGGGTGGACTGGGACACATAGTCACAGTACTTTGTCCATGTTTACTGCACGTTGCTGTACCCGCAACTGGGTGTTTGCACGTATTCATGTGGCCACCATCTGGTCATATACCAAAGGAGTCGTGGGTTCTTTTAAGTGCAGAGGGTTGTGTACCGTACACTAGGGGTTGTGACAACACTGAAAGAGTCTGCACACAAAGTTGACTCCAAGGTTTTTACACCCGGTCACAGGTGGGCTCGATCCCGGCACCTCAAGCTCGCTGGATCATTATCCTGGCGCTTTAGCAAGTTCGCCCACCGCGCCCAATTAATTTATAAATATTGTGACCACTTTGCGTTTGGATTTGTGGTAACACTTTTGAGTTGTATGACGGGTGCTCTATGAAAGAATGTATACCTGGTAATGGCAAGAATGGCTGGAGCTGCCGGAATATTGTTTGAAACTTGAGGCATGAAATGTTGAAGGCTTCCCTAATGTCTTGTGTTTTGTCTCCGAATATTTATTTCGATGTGGCGAATCCTTTCAGAAATTCGGAATAATAGCCAAAACATATCAGCTTAAAGGGGAGCACAACGGAAATGCCCAAAGAAATGATATACTTGCTTTTGGCAGAGGTGATTTGTAACCCAATGCCTTGCTTCTAATCTATCTATCAACCATTATTTCTTTTAAAATGCCTTAAAGTCCTCGGACCTTTTCCTGAACATCGTTCAGTCACCGTACTGTAGAGTAACTGTAACTGAGCTGATTCGCTTTACCACTCCCACTCCTACCAAGAGCCTTTCAATTCATCGATTCTCCAGACACAAGGGTTCAGCTTGTAGGAACGTTTGAAGGCTTAAGTATCAGGTTTTTCACGGTATCATCAAATATAGATACATAAAGCTGAATTGAAGGCTGCATCTTGAAACTAATTTAAAGTTACAAAATATTGAAATAAGTATTGTATGCATTTCTTTATCTCAAACATGTGTACTATTTGGAGAACTGTTTGACTGGTTTGTTTGTTTATTGTTTAACGCTGCCCCTCAGCGCAGTATTCCAGCTATATGTTCTGTAAATAATCGAGTCTGGACCAAATAATCCAGTGATCAATAGTATGAGCATCAATCTATATACAATTGTAATACAATGACATGTGTCAACCAAATCAAAGAGCGTGACCACCCGATCCCGTCAGTCGTCTTTCACGACAAGCATGGGTTGCTTAAGACAAATTCAGACCCAGATGTTCACGGGTGAGAATTGTGTGAACGTGAACACCTGCATATTCATCTTTCACCCTAGCTCTTGATATTGTTGTTAATTACAGATCTAGTAGAAGCTGGAAAAGGATGTTCAATTAATCAGTTTTTGGACGATGACGAAACCGATCAGGAAGTGAAGTATAAGCTTCCTAAAGCCATCAGAGAGAAAACGTTGTTCATCATACGCAGATCTTGCAAACGTACCAATGGCTATGTGGCTTTTTGAGGGTAGGTTCTTGTAAATGTCTACACTAACTGCTTATCTCTTCATTCTCGAAATCATCTTCCTGCACTGTGTTCATCAAGAACAGAAAAACCCATCTCACCTGAACGAATCCTTGCCAGTGAACGGGCAAATTCGCTCACTACTTGCCCCTTTCCTCTCCAAGAAGACGCGTCCCTCTATCGATGCTTATGTGCGAAAAATACGACAAAACCAATCAGAACGCGCTTAGGTACTTTGGTAAAAATAATCCCAATACTTAAATCGATTATGGCATTATGTGTTTTGTTTAAAACATCATGAGAAAATATGTACCACCAATATTGAAAGTTACAAACAACGTAGCTAACGGAACTGTGTGTTGTCTCGTGATAGATTTTTAGTAAGGATAATGCGGTTGACGACGACAGATTCAAATCCACGCTCGTGCGTTTGTTGACATAACGGCTCTCAGTGGTCCAACTGAGTGTATTTTCTGACAATCCTGTGCTCTTGTTTTGGTAAGTGTATGCGCTTCCAACAATTTTAGGAAAATGTAATTATAAATCGCTAAGAGTTTCAAATCAGTAATATTAGATCTGTATGTAACCTATAAACTTGAACATTGGGCTTATATTTCACATCTCGGGGATATTTTAGTCTCACTTTGTTTGGTCATTCATATTTTTTTCCGCGAATTCATTTAAAATTCCATGATAGGTATTGACAGCAAGGATACACGAATGTTCAGTTTGAGAAATATTTTAAAAGTCATTTCGGAGATAAACATACTGTGTTTGAAAACCAGAGGTATATCAATGAAATTATAATAGCTCTAATTTTGATTTAAAACCAAACGCCGTAGCTGGCATAACATGGCTGGAAGGTGCTTCGCTTGGAGGCATTTCTACAGCCATTTGGTTGTTTCAGTGGGTGACCAATCAACCATGTCCCATCTTTACAAAAGGAGATCCGTTTCATCTTTTATTTTGACGATGGAATTGAAGCTCAGTAAATTAACAGAAGTAAGATATTTTGCCCTCTCAAGATTTTTTAAGTTCTTAGGAATAGATTTCTAACATTGATGGGGAATGATATAAAGCTATCTTCCAACAGCTCTTTGCAAACAGATTCCACTCAACCAGCAATGTTATGACTCCTCATCTCAGTTCAGAGACAGACTGCAATTATGAGACTATTTCAAGTTCCTCGGGATCCCAAGCTTCGCCTACCACACCTTAGGCAACAAATTCTATGGTGGATAGTCCAGTCGAATATCTATGGAAGAGTTTGACCAGTTCGCAAAATCTGAAGGTTGCACAGTAGTAGAAAGCTCCACCTCCACAAATAGCAGACTACTTGATACATGGATCTCAAGCACAATGAATTTCAAAGGGTGTAAACAACGTTATGCACCTAGAGGGACTTGTCAACCGGTTTCATCACTTGGTTCCGATGTGCAAGCGTTGGGTATGCCTGTGTTTGCATGAGAGGTTTTCTGTTCCTGAGGAACACAGCACAGTACTAAACAATATGTATTTCATTATGTTATTCTTCTTTGTCTTTTTCAATAGTATGTATGCCTTTTAAGCGCCACGACATGAAGGAGATGAAATAAAATCAGATTAAGTTGGTTTTTATTTATATTTATGTGACTTAATCTGAAATTGATTTTGGATTGAGTCAGGATGTCTGACTGTGACATTTGAAATCTAAAAACAAATTACAATTTTGAAGGACTACTGCTGATGTCGCTTCTGGATATGGTTATATTTTTACTAGAAGGAATAAGGGTTGACAAACTTTTTAATGTCATTACCAGAACACCTTACATCGAAAGCGACACAGGTTGGCGATAACAACCGTATTGAAGTCAAACCCGGTGCTGACAACATAAGACGCACTGCAAGTGGGGAGAAGTAACACATTTTCCACATTCAGAGGTGAGTTGACATTAAAGGAAAGTATTCAGTCCATTGTGCCCTTCCATTTATCAACCTGTTTCTGATGTAGGTTAGTTTCTACAAGCTAAGCATAAAAATAAGGCATAAAGGTTGAATAACTTGTAAATTTTTTTCCTTATCCTGACTCATGATTATTTCTTATCTCTCTTCTACTTCCGACGGTTACATGGAAACTTGAATCCCTTTTGTTCCCAAGAACAGTCAAAATCTCACTCACCGCGGTATAGGCCCGCTTTCATGCCAAAGCGTCCCCGTGACCACGAGCCTTGCTCACCTCACTCTCTTCATTATTGCCCAAGGAGACGGTTGGGCGGTCACCATGGGTCCTATTTTGCGGCTAATATCCTTTCTTTATATTTCGCCCTATCAATCAAAATTAAGGCCGTGAATCGTATTAAGATCCGATATATAATCACAACGGTGTATTTAATTACACAAATTTCAATTCATTTTCGCAATTTTCTCTCTCCATTTCAGATGGTAGCATGTAAACAATGCAGGCTAGGTATATCAGCGGCTGATCCACACCCTGTGTGTTCTTCCTGCGTCAATAATTCGCGTTCCTTAGTCCCATGTTGTAAATATTGTGCACCTTTATCACAATTTCAATTTACTAAATTGCTGTTTTCACGTTTACGCAAGGACATGGATAAACGAAGGGTAGCAGGGTAGCTGCTGATAAGGGTGTCTCTCAAGTATCTGAGTGTGAGTCGTTGGAGAAGTCTTTGAAGATTCCATTCAGGGTCTCTCCCATCTCTGTCGCACTTACAGAGACAGCTACACAGTCTCTGAACTACAGAGGCTGGTTAAGAAGAAGAGATTATCTGCGTCGTCTAACAAATCGTCAACGTCGCAATCTACATCATCATCTCGTTCTCATCATCATCTTGATTACTAGACCAACGAAATCTCTGAGTGAAGCTACATCGTTTGAGAATGCCTTGATGTTATTGGATGAAGCAGACGCATCACCGCCAGTTCTCGAACCACAGATTATCATAAATACTTCATAGAAAACGAAGACAACCAGCTCTTCAGGGTTCGCAAACCCTGGTTTACAGAAACAACCGTCAGCAGTTCCAGCGTCGGGAGAAAAAGCAGTCGTCTCAACGCAAACCTTCTTCCATGCCATCGTGGTTCGCCAACCCATCTGTCAACAATCAACCAGCTTCACCTCAGTCTACTTATTCTACCAATGTCTCTTCACAGTTCACGAAAGGGTTCGCAAACCAGTCAACCAGCAGTCAGTCTACTTTATCTCTACCTGCCAAGAGAAATAAAGCTACATTGGTGAACCCATCTATGTAGATGACCTCCATTAATCAGCATCATCAGCAAAGCAGTACGGCTCCATCTAGTTCACAAGCTTTTGTGAACACTCCGGAGTATACCAGGCTGCCGTTGGATCCAGACTTTGTGGTGAAGGTTACCAGACAAGTCGTTCTAGCCATGCAACAACAACAACGTTCTACAGAGTTACAACATCCTCTCAGCCACTCTACTGTAACATACTCTATCAGTGACTCCATTCAAGAGGAATCAGCAGCCTCAGATGTTAGCGTCCATGAAGTGGAAGATGCATCCATCTACTCAGACTCAAAGGTCTTATCATGGATCACAGATGGTCTCCAACCTGGCGGAGGCCTACTGCATTGTGGATGAAGATCTAGATATGCTGATGATCCCTCCTATAAAGCCTTTATCGCAGGTCTAACCTCAAGTCAGCGTTTGCGAAAGCTTCCAAATCTCATTTAATGTGAGGAAACCATTCTTCAGGGCGCCGAACATTGATGACGACTTCCATCTCCTCAGCGACTCCAGGTCCGCAGCTATAGAGCGGAAGACAAGAAACTGGCACATCTAGACACGACTACGACAAGGACCTTCTTCAGGTTGGCTAGATCCCGGGCCATCAACGAAGCCTTGATCAACACATTCAAGAGACAGAAACTGAAAAAATGGTTTTATCAGCACTCGTCACACAAACGAAGGACCAGGAGGTTATGTCTGACCACCTTGCATCTACATCGGCAGGTCTGACCTTACTTCGGTTACAAGGATTCCTCTTGACCTGTAACTGGCCAGATTATTGCACCAAGTCTTTACTACGTAAACATTGGGCAGCGCCAACTCTATTTGACGGCTGTATCCAACCAGTGTCTCGGGATGTATGCCAGGACTCAATGGATCAAATGGTGATCAGATCCATGCAGACTATGAACAACATGTATTGGCAGACATCACAACGAGTACAATTCCCAATGAACTTCCCAGGCATACAGAAGGCCAGAGATAAGATGGCATTAGGATCTCAAGGGGGCCAATCTGTCTGTTTTCGTTGCTCATCTGATAACTTAAGTGGACGTTCCAGGAGCAGCCCCTCCCCGGGATTCTCCCAGTCCTCTCGTCAATGAATGACTGGTCCATTCCATCCCCAGGCATTCCTGTACAACCGTCAACCGTACAAAAACAGACCTGAGATCAATGCAGTCTCACCCACGCTTTTATTCTCGAATTTTCCTAGTACCAGATAAGAACTCCAAGGAGAAATTCCGCCTCATCTACAACATGAAGCGTTTCAACCTAGACTATCTACTAAAACTGGACAAGTTCAAGATGCTGCACTTACCACAACTGCGACATCTAATCAGACCCAACGACTACCTAGCCAGCATAGATCTACAAGATACTTACCTGCACCTCCCTATACATCCGGCCTCGAGAAAAGTATATTCGATTCCTGTATCAAGGGCAGCATTACCATTGGAGGGTCATCCTCTTTGGTATTTCCTCGTCCCTTGGCTATTTACACATATATCTAAACCCATAGTTGCGTTTCTACATCAAAGGGGATTTCACTGTGCTTTCTACCTAGACGACGGCATACAGGCGCATCAACTAGCAGATCAACTCAGACATCAACAGTAGTTTACAATCCAGCTACTGACGCAATGGACTGGCTAGTCAATCAAATGAAATCGGAACTAGAGCCATCGCAGGAGTTGCAGTTCCTCAGCATAAAGTTCCTCACCATGAACAACCCATCCAGAAGACCGATGGTCAAGCATACAGGTATGTCTTCGAGCCGCTCTCAACTCTCCTCTACCAATAAGAGCATGCAAAGACTACTAGGCCTCCTCACGTCAGCACAGGCTCTCACTCGCAGAGGAAGGTTGCAGTTTCGACCGCTTCAACGCTTCCTTCGACCTCATATCGACAGTCTGCAGAGGATATCCATCCTGTTCAAAGTCATATCTACTCTGGTGGACAGACAAGTCAAATGTCTGCGACGGGACTTATTTGCAAGAGCCAGGCTACAGTCTACATCTCTTCGTCGATGCATCTCTGCAAGGATAGCCGCACACTTCAACGAAGAGGTCACATCTGGATTTTGGTCATTAAAAGAAAGGACATTACACATGAATCAACTGGAATTTAAGGCGATAATCGAGTTATCACTTATTGAGGAATCAAGTCCCTATGATTCACACAGACAACTCAACAGTCGCCTTCTACATAAATCTCCAAGGCTCAACGAGATTGCAACTGACGTTGCAACACTTCAACCCAGCAGACAACCTTCACTTATGGATGAAAGCCTGTCCCATTCCAGGAGCAAAGAACGTCTTAGCCGACGCCCTATCCAGACCGGTCTGACCACCACCCACAGAGTGGATGCTCCACCTGGAAGTGTTCCAACTGCTAACAATAGATCAAGGCTGTCCTCTCATAGATCTGTTTTCGACACACTTCAATCACCAGATTGTAACGTTCATCGCTCCAGTACCAGACCCACAAGCCTGGGCTCTCGACACTCTAGAGATTTCTTGGGAAGGACTAAATGCGTACGCATTTCCACCACCGATCCTGTTATCTCAAGTTATACACAAAATCGGTCAGACCAAAGTCCTATAACTGATTTTGGTTGCGCCCTACTGGCCAGCGAGAACTTGGTTTCCAGGCCTCCTACAGCCATTTGGAAAACCAACACTGCCTCTACCAGATTGGCCGAATCTACTGATCCACCCTCACACAAAACAACCTCACTGCAACCCAGCAGGCCTCGGACTACACACATGGAATATATTACACACTGCTTGAGCAGGAAGAGGGTACTGCACCAGAGCAGCTAAGCAAGTTACACTGGCCTTAAGACGATCGACTTGCAACCTCTACGATGATAAGTGGAAGAGTTTTGATCAGGTTGCTGCACGCAAGGGATGTTCCCCCTGTGAAAGACACACATCCTCAAGTAGCAGAGTACTTATGTTATCTGAGAGCTACTAGACACCTGAAAAGATTTACACTCTCAACATACTTGGCGGCGATCAGCTCCGTTATCACCATGGATACGGGAGTCAAGCTCACCAAAGTACCTGAACTCGTCGCTCTATTAAGGGCATTTAAACTAGAAGACCAGCAGCAGAAGCTTAGAGCTCCAGCATGGGATCTCAACATAGTGCTGCAACATCTTACCAGCGACGAATATGAGCCACTGAGAGACACAACTTTTGAGCTGTTAACTCAGAAAACATTATTTCTCCTAGCTCTAGCTACAGTGGGAACAATGTCAGAAATACACGCCCTCAACCACGGACGAACCAGGTTCGACTCAGGAGAGTATGATGCAGTCCACCTGGGTCTCAGATAGGACTTCATAGCAAAAAATCAGCTACCAGGTCAACCGGATCGACACTTCCACGTACCGGCATTGTCTATGGTCCTTGGACCACACTATACAGAAGATCTGTCCCTAGGCCGAGTCAGAGCTTAAAAAATCTACATAGAACGGACTGCTACAAGAAGGAGGAAGTTCTAGCGTCTCTTTATTCCGCTATCACCCTGCCAAGACTATTCAAGGCTCCCGAGCTGCTATCTTGTTTTGGATCAGAACTGTCATCCGACGAGCCTGCAAAGCAGTGTGGCAGGATCCTCCCAGAGCCTCCAACACACACGAAGTTAGAGCATCAACCTCGACA